AAACTTGCTTGTGTTTCTCAGGAAAGAGTTCAGAGGTACGGGGCTATGTTGATGCTGATCTAGCTGGAGACATTGATACTAGAAGAAGTACTACAGGTTATATTTACACTATTGGTGGCACTGCAGTATCATGGGGCTCTAATCTGCAGAAGACAGTTTCGTTGTCTACTACAGAAGCTGAGTACATAGCAGTATCAGAAGCTGCAAAGGAGATGATATGGCTACAGGGCTTCTTGAAAGAATTAGGCAAGAAGAATCAAATGGGCGTACTCTACAGTGACAATCAGAGCGCTATATTCCTTGCCAGGAATCCAGCATTTCAGTCCAGGACAAAGCACATTCAGATCAGGTATCACTTCATACGATCATTGTTGGATGACGGACAGTTGATGCTTGAGAAAATTTGTGGAAGCCAAAACCCTGCTGATATGTTGACAAAGGGTGTTACTCTGGAGAAACTGAAGTTGTGCGTAGCTTCAGTTGGTCTTCTAGCTTGAAGACAGAGACCTTGAGTTGCAAAGGTGGAGGATTTGCGTTTGAAGAAAATGATAACGTCATCAGTAGAGGATATCAGTTTGAGGAGGAAGGATGTTGCAGTATGTGAACTGGTCTCCAAGTGGGAGATTATTTGTTATGTGGAGCCCGTTATAAGAAAAAACAAAAAAAAAAGGGGGAATAACTGCACGTTTCTTCCCTCCCGTCTCTCTCGCTCCTATTTTTCGCGAACCGCTCCTATTCGCGATATATCTATCTCTCTTTCTCCCGTTCGCTATCCCTCCCCCGTCCGTGCGATTTCTCCCGTCCCTGCGTGCGAAAGAAGCCCGCCGAGAGAGAAATTCCCGCGCGATTCCTCCTTTCTCCATTCTCTGGTTTTGCGATCTACTGTAGGCATCGCAGGAAGAAGATTTCTCCTTTGGATTCTTCTTGAGGCTTACGGGAGTAGAAGAAGGAAGAAGGAAAAGAAGAAGATAGTGAAGAAAAAGAAGAAGATAGTGAAGAAGAAGAAGAAGATAGTGAAGAAGAAGGTGCTTATTCTTGATTCTTCTTGTTTGGCTTGGAGCAGAAGAAAAAAAAGGGTTTTTTCTTGTACGTATTTCTTCTTCTTTGGAGTTCTTGCACTTGGGTGAATCTCGGTGAAAAGAGAAAGAGCAAGTGAGAGATCCTTTAATTGTAGTTGAGATCAAACGGTGTAAATTCCTCAATTAGTAAAATCCTCTGCAACTCCGTGGATGTAGGCAATTTGCCGAACCACGTAAATCTGTGTGTTTTTGGTGTTAATTTTCTCGTGCTATATTTATTCGCTTCGTAGTCGATCGTTATAAATTTCAAAGTTATCATAACAGTTTCCTGTGCCTCGCGTAAAAAAGAGAAAGTGGTTCTAACTTTTCTTTTTTACGGACCTTTATTGTAGTCTCAAAACACTTCACGGTCCCTTCTAACAGTCTTCACTGCCATCCCTTCTAATACCTCTTCATCGCCATCCCTTTACTAATATTTTGTTTTGAGGTTAATATTGATGTATTTTTTGTTATTTATCTTAGAGTGCATTCATCATTCATTATAATTCAGTCTTAAGTAGTAATAGGAAAGAGAAAGAAGAAGTATATAAGGTTTGATAATGAATAAAGTTCAAACCTTGTATTTAATATTTAATTCTTGTTCGAGTAAAGATTAGTTTATCTATTTTAAATCTAGGATTTGATTGTTAGCTGTGAAATTATGTTTGAAGAAGTTCAAACAAGATAAAGAGTTTGTAATAGAGTCTTCTTCAAACCGCAGAAACTTTTTTCGAACATTGGTGGGCCCAAACCTGGTTTAAAATGTATCCAAACCTTGTTTGAATCTTATCTAAATATTATTGAAACTTTTTTTTAATTATCTTATAAGAAATTGATTTATTTAAATTGACTTTGCCATGTATATTGACGCTGTAACTAATTATTCCCGTGGAGAGATGTACATGACTCGGAGAGAAATTCACATCCAAGTAGCTTTTCACTATTAGATGACATGTAATTCTCCATGGCCTCAACTCATCAACTTCATATGGGTGTGTGCGTGTTTTTTGGTCTAATTTTATTGTAATTTATGTTTTATTTCTAATTGTTACTGTAGCTGTTAAACTTCACAAATACTAAAATTAAGAGCTGTTAGATCTTTCCTCAGTAACTTTTTTTGGATTTATGACATTTGTTTTTACTTGTGATATCTATTAAGTTGGCACATAAGTTTTTATTAAATACTTTAGACACCAATCAGTGGTACTAGAGTGAACCATTGTAGAAAATTTGCATAAAACTAGTATTGTATAATATTTTGAGTATTTAACAAGGATTTATATGCCAACTACTTAGATTTTATGGGTGAAAAATGGCATTCCTCTGGACTACTTGTTGATTAGATGATTCATAGTTTTTTTTTAACATTTGCTATGCTTGCTAACTATATCGATAATCAGATATGAAGCATAAATTACTTTAAATTGAGTATATATGCATAAATCTCTGTGAAGTATTCTATCAAAGTTTTATAATATTTTGTGGTGTGTATTTATCTGTTGCATTTTGTGTATAAATATGCAATAATTTCTGATTTTATTTAATAATCTTATGTGACCTTATAATATGTATAGCATTAATTATTTGGTGATGCTATGGGTATTTAATATATACATATAGTGGTGAAATTTTTTGTAGCATAGTTGAATTGTAAACATTAAGCTCTGTATGTGACCTGAGCTATGTAATGACTTTCTATAGGAATGATTAGTTGTGATATATGTATATATTTCAAAACAATTAAAATGAAGTAATATCATACATGATAATTAGGAAAAAAAAAGAGCTTGGACATTATTTGAATAGGTTTTGAATATTTTTCAAAAGGGTTCCGACAAGGTTTGAACATGATCTATGAGATTCGAACCTTGTACAAACTTTAAGATCTACTCGAGCTCTGTATTGGGCTAATGTTCTAACACATAATGCATACAATATTTTGAACAAGGTTTGAACCACATTCAGAGAGGTTTGAAACGCCTATTACAAGTTTTTATTTTGTTCTTTTTTTTTGGAATTTAGTTTTGCATCTAATGGTTAAAACATAGGCTCGAAACAAATGTTCAATTCTCATTTGAGTTAGGATTGCAGTGAAGCATTACAGTAGATGCATTACTAGCGCTAGACCGTTAGAGATGAAGATGGTGGTTTGAAAAGTGAGATTTGAGCAGCTGTTTGTTTGAGCGCACATGTGATTAGGGGCTGTCTCATATTAAGTATTTTTGTACTTAAATGAAATTTTATCCATGTTTCCTTACATAAAATCATAGTGGACACTCATTAATTGCAGTATTGTCCAAGTAGTAACATAATGTGAATTGCTAATTATTATTCGCCAGCTTGATTTTCTCCCCATTGTTTTGTGTTGAAATGCCATACTTATCTAAAAAAAAAGTTTAAATTAAAGTACATGACACTCATTAATGCACTAATTCATCGTTCTTTTGCTTAATCTAAACATTAGATTTATAATTTTAGCATGTTTTTTGTTCCATGAACAAATTTCTAAGAAAAAATGGAAAAGGAAAGTCTTGTGTCTCTTTAAACTCTGGAACTAAAGCCTCCAAACATATTTTCAGCAGCAAAACTTTCATAAATCCCAGTTTATTCGTTCCCTCCGACAGTAAAATATTTCATCTTCTCCTCCTTATTCTCAACGGAGGATATATACCTTAAGAGCTTAAATATTAGGTTGTTACATCATAAATAAAAAGAAAAAAAAAGCAAAAATTAAACTTGTGGTTACTTGTAATATTTTCACTTTACCCTGCTTATTTTTCCATGCAGGTAACGCCTAAGGCCATTTATTCAGCTATAGCCAACTTGGGTGTAACCCACTTCTGTGCTGCGCCTGTTGTCTTAAATTCTCTCATCAACGCTCCTCCCTCCCAAAAGCTCCTCCCCCTCCCTCGCACCGTCAATGTCATGACCGCTGGTGCCGCTCCACCAGTTTCGCTGCTTGCATCCATGTCCGACCATGGCTTCCGCGTCACCCACACCTATGGCCTCACCGAGACATATGGACCTAGCACCGTTTGCGTCTGGAAACCCGAGTGGGACTCGCTTTCGCCTGAAACTCGAGCTCGCCTCCATTCCCGCCAAGGTGTTCGTTACATTGGTCTTGAAGGCCTCGATGTCTTGAATCAGGAGACCATGACACCTGTCCCAGCCGACGGGAAAACCGTCGGCGAAATCGTCATGCGTGGAAACTGTGTGATGAAGGGCTATCTGAAGAATCCAAAGGCGAACGAGGAAGCTTTTGCTGGTGGCTGGTATCACTCCGGTGATCTCGGAGTAAAGCACACAGATGGATACATTGAAGTAAAAGATCGATCGAAGGATATAATAATCTCAGGCGGAGAGAACATCAGCAGTTTGGAGGTGGAGAATTTGATTTACAAGCATCCAGCGGTGCTCGAGGTGTCGGTGGTGGCTCGGCCGGATGAGCGATGGGGAGAGTCTCCTTGTGCATTCATCACTCTTAAACCAGATGCTAAAGCTGGGAAGAATGAGGAGGCTATTTCGGCTGATATTATGAAATTTTGCAGAGAAAATATGCCTGCTTATTGGGTGCCTAAGTCGGTGGTGTTTGGGCCGTTGCCGAAGACGGCGACCGGAAAGGTACAAAAGCATGTTTTGAGGAAGAAGACGAAGGAGTTGGGGCCGGTGAAAAAGAGCCGGCTGTAGATAAGAATAATGCCAGTAGCTTTTGTTTTCCTTAATATGAAAAAAGTAGTCTTTTATTGGAAATAATATTGCGTCTGGTAAATCGTCTGGTAAATCAAATCCGACGTTCGGACGATGACGTGGATCTCATCACAGTGCGTTCTGTAGCGTGGTGCGATCCGACACTGTTATCTGCACATTTATTGTTTGGAATATTCTCTTGTTATTGAGATTTGTTTTATGGATTTGTATGGAATGCTCTATTTTGAATGTAGTGAATTTTATTGAACATTAGTGCTATGTTTAATAATGTGTATTTTGGTTTGTTATGTATTGGGATTTCTTGATGTATTTTTATGAGTAGAAATGTATGATAATGTAAATAGCAGTTTAAAATAAAAATGTTTTTTGAGTAATTGAATAACACAGGTAGCTATTTTATGATAGATGGTGTTTTTTTTTTTATATTTTTTATCAATTGCTTCCTGGTTTTGAGCAAATTATAAGCTGTTTGGTGTTGCTGATTAAGGGTTCGTTTGAGGCCGTTTTTTCTACGAGGTATCGCGGCCTCAAACTGCGAAGTTGAGTTTGAATTTACTGTTTGGATATAGCGTTTGCCGCCGCCGGCAGCTAAAATAGGCGGAACGCGGGCAGCGGGATCAACCCTGCGCCCCGCGTTGTCAAATCGAACCTTGAACTTTTCCATGGCAGACTGGTTTGTTGGCCCAATCATGGGTAAGTTCATCAACGCTTGCTCTGATTACCTGCAAGATCAATATTGATGGCAGAGGGCATGAAGGAGGAGCTCGAAAGGCTGCTAGAAAACTACCCTAAGGTCCAAGCTGTCATCTCTGCTTCCACCCAAGCACAGATCAGAGATGGAAACCCAGCACTCAACAGTTGGATATGGCAGCTACAAGATGCCATCAATGAGGCAGATGATGATCTTGATGACTTCGAGTACGTGAAGCTTGAAGAACAGCTTACCAGAAACAAGAAGCAGCAAAAGGTGCGTTCCACCATGAGCTCTTCAAAGAAAATTGGCAAACGTGCTCTCAAGATGGATCCCAATTTGAAGAGACTGGAGAAGGTTGCGAAGAAACTTGATAATGTTTCAGCTGAGGTCAGCACTTTCCTTCATCTCATTGAAAACACAAACCAGGAGCAACAGGAGCTGGAGCTTCAGTTGTGCAAAGATCGTGAAACAGGATGCTTGCCTAAAAATGATCTCATCGGTTCAGACGAGAAGAATTTTGTGGCATTTTCCCACAAGATCATCAGTTTGATAAAGACTGTGGATTGCATTGGGTTTCATTCAGGAATCTTCTATTGAAGGAGAGACTTTGGAAGATATTGGAGGAAGGTATTTTGATGTTTTGGTCAGAAAATCTTTCTTTGATGAGTTTATATTACGAGAGAATATATTATAAGATGCATGATTTATTACATGAATTGACACAATCTATTCCTTCAGATGAATGTTTCGGATTATTCCTAAAAATTGTTAAAACTGAAAATCTAGAAGTGTTGAAAATGATCAAAGATGTTAAAAATCTACATTCTCTTTTTCTCACTAGTGAAAGACATGGTCCATGTTTTACTGAATTTTTTGAAGCATCGAGAATGACTCGTTTGTTGTTCATATGGTCTCCATGTCAGGAAAAAATTCTGAGGCTATTAAAAATTTGAGACATCTTCCATATTTGAATCTTGCTGGTATGTCTCACTCATATGCCAAGATCTCTAAGCAGTCTTTATCATTTGCAGTTCATAATCTATATAACAAGTTATTTTGGGGATTTTGCTCTGATGATTTCTTGCCTGGCAATGCGAGTGATCTTTCTAATCTGCTTTACTTGAAATTGCCCAAGAATGTATTTTCTAGTGCACCTGGAATTGGGAAATTAAGGTCACTTCAAGAACTAAATGAGTTTAATGTTAAAAATGAGAATGGCTATAGAACTGGGGAGTTGGAACAAACGAGCCAGTTGCGCAAATTAAAAACACATTTTCTGGAAAATGTGTAGGATGCTAGCGAGGAAACTCAGGGATTTATCTTTGAATTGGGATGACAAGTTAGTAAATACTGACTTAGATGTGAATGTGCTTGAACATCTTAAACCATACACAAATCTGAAGAGATTTTCCATAGTTTCATACCAAAAAAAAAAGTAGTTGAGCTCAGTTTGTGCATAAAAAGATATTGCAGAATAGTTCATCATTTTTTATGTTCTCCTAAATTAAGAGATTCTATTTCAGTATGGGGGAAATATATAAAGTTAATCTTTTGTGATCTCTGGAACAGGTTTTAGGTAATCTTTGGTAATCGAAGCTTGCTTTGCCTTTCAATGAGTTACTGTTGGTATATATTGACAAGCAGTATGTAATACTCTTCACCAAGTTTTTTTCTTTTTACAATCATCCACAGCATGAAGGTTTGTTATTAGTACTTCAAATTGTGTTTTGTTTGCTTGCAAGTATAATGCAGACCCGACAATGTGGGAAAAATGAGTTAGAAGCTTTAATATGTCTTCAAACATCATTTTATGAAAGCTTGAAATTATTGAGAATATGTTCGAGGCAGTGAATTGTGTGTTATGTATAAGAATTGTGTGTTATGTATGTAAATGCACATTTTATTGGCTTATTTAAAATGAAGTAATCATCATTCGCATGAAGACGAACGGGTTACTCTACAGTTTAGAGAATTAAACAAATTTAAGAGTGTTAATTTCATTTTCACTTATTTTGACTTTGACACTGAAAAAATATTTATCTTGAATTTCTATTTCAGAATTATTAAATAAATTCATCATTATTTTGAATTTATGCTTCAGAATTATTAAATAAACTTGTGTCACAGTACAATTATAAAGAAATTTACTAAACAGGAGCAGAGCAGTCAATTTTCTAGAAACAACTACCTCACAGTTGTTTTCACAGAGCTGCAATAAACAGACAAACAGCTTCCCCGCAACTTCCTGAGACACCGCAGCTGCAGCCGCCCCAAACAAAGCCTAAGAATGTGTTTGGAGCTTTTATGTTTTTGTTTTTTTTGAGAAATTTACATATATACCACACTAATCTTTTATATTTACATATCTAGCACTTAAACTTTCATTGTTATACTTCAAATATTTTTGGTGCAATAAATCTATGCATGATTTAACTTTCAGAAGTAGATCATATTGATATTTTTGTTATATGATATTAAAATTTTGAGTGTTAAATGTTTGGTGTTATATATGAAAATGCATAAGAATTGCTTGGTATGTATGGAAAATGCCCCAACTATTTTTTCACCATGTTTGCCATTAGAAGTATGGAGTAACTAGATTGAATAATAGCAGAGGCCCAGGAAGAAAGGCCCAGGAAGAATCTTTAGAACCAATTGGCTCAAGGTGAAGTTTCTGACCCAAAGGGCCCAAGAAAAAGTGATTCAAGGTGAAGTTTCTGACCCATAGTCATACAGAATGATTTTTGTAGTCAAGTTATTATTCTCATTTTATTTCTTCATAAATAATTACCTATCTTATATTTATTAGATCCAACATCATGATTTTAAAATGATTAGGTGGATTTAGCTGATGTTTTTTTTTTAAATATGTTTGTAAGTCTGGTAGAGGCAGATTTATCTCAATCTTAGGTATTCTTGAACATTAGAAGTCTATTGCATAGTGCTAAAGCTATGTTTGATATAATATTTTGATAATAACTATTGCCCTAGTTTAGATTTTGATGTATTAATTCTCTTCTGCTATGTCATAAGTCCCCAGCTTATAAAATTTTGTATTATATTGTTGAAATATGTCCTAATCTTCTAAATAAATGAATCACTTAAATAATATAAATTTTAATTTCTATAATATAAGATGCAACATAGGATATTTGAAGTGTTATTACACTTAACTTAAGCTTAATGTATGATAGTAGGATAAGGTATTTAGAGATGAACTTCGTTGCAACATTTGTTGTAGCTGCTAATAAAGATGCCTACATAATAAGAGATGACATTATGAGCACATTGATGAGGATAGTTAAAAAAATAAATAAAAATAAAAATAAATAAATAAAAAAAAACATAAGAAATTTCACAAGTAGTTAAATAGAAATGTTGGAGATAGGTGATAACATCTCATCATTTTTATGTGGATCAAGTACTTTCGACTACAAAAACATTTAGAGAAGAACAGCTCAAGATCGATCTCATGCGATTTAGCCTCTTAGAGAAATTTTAGCCATGTGAAATGGATTGTATAATAACAAACAAATTTCAAGGTGATCAAAGAACATTAGTGCACTCCTCAATTATAAATGTTTCTCTATATGTGAAAATGGGATATTGACTAGTAGGCCAGACAGTTATGGAAGAATAGGTTGCACGATGTTACAAATGTTAATATACATTTCCCACAACATAGAAGATAGTGCCATGACACAGATCAAATTTGATCCACCTTTTTTTTATGAGGATCAAATTCTCTCAACTAGCAAAAAAATATTCTGTTTGAATCTCTGCATGTCCGGACGACCAACCACTGGGCACCATGCCTGCTGGTTGGCCGACTGGACATGCGGTGTCCGGACTGTATATTTTCTCCTCAGCTAGAGGATGATAAGAGATGAATAACTCGTGATAAACAATTAATAGCTATAATCCCTTACAATATCAAGGCCCAAAATGCCCACAACTAATCGATTCACTCCCAACGAATACTAATCATATTCTTACCATGCTCTCATCAAAATCTAATTTTTATCAACACCCAAATAATAGAGCGACTTAATACTTAAAAACCCAAATATTGCAAGAGCAACAAGTGTTTTTTAGTATGAAGAAAATCAAACAGATGAAATCATGCCCCATGTTAATTGACACGTGCCTCTCTATTAGTGTTTTATAAGTCCATCATTGTGCTCTATGGCCTATTCCTTAAATCATTCACATGAATCTAATTTCATTTCTCCCCATATTAATTTATTAGCTACATTCTAGCCTACAAACACAAGTAATAGTTTGATTATTGACGTGGGTTTAAGGTTGCCCAAATCATCAGCCATGTAATAAAAGGAAAGAATTTGGTAAGCCATGTTCATTTTATATCATCAACCATTTGACATTCTGGATAATCCCTTTGGGTTTATCTTCAGTAAAACCAAACATTTAACTTCACGTGCAATATAATTTACTGTTTTGCATATAAATATTAAAGTTGGGGTGCTAAACATGTAAATACATAAAATTTCTATGGTAAGTATGTAAATGCCCCTTTTCTTATCTTATCTTCTCAAAGTTATACATACATACATATATAT